TCTGTTAGAGACACTTTCAAAGTATATTGATATCCAGGATTAGGATCAACAGTATAGGGCCACCAGAATATAGCATTTTCTATAGTAATTGATCCTGAATACCCTTTACTTGATGAAACAACTTTCCCACTTTTATCCAACACATCGACAACACACTCAGCTTTGGAGGTCTGATCGCTATGAGTGACTGAATAGTTAATGACTCCGGTTTTGGTGTCTTTGATATCAGTGGTAACTGTTATATCGTTTATGTGGTCCTTGGGTAAGGCATAGAGCGAGACATGTCTGTGAATACCCGCATAATTGAAAAAATCGAAATTTGTTTTTGTTATATAAAATCCTTTGGGATATAATCCTTTTGTATCATTCTTATAGGCCACCAGACCCTGAGGTATAGTCTCCTGAGTTAAGACATTACTCAGAGCCACAGTTATTCTATTGCTTTCTCCATAGTTAAGGTGTTTTGTCACATACTCTTCAAAGGGTAAGTGTCCGCCCGTATGGTTCATCACATTCTCTCCATTCACGTATACAATGGCCTCATAGTTAACACTTCCGAAATTCAGGACCACTTCAGAGTCTTTCCACTCCTGAGGCACGAAGAATGACGAGTCATACCAAACCCATCCCGCGTAGTCTCGTAAGTATCTGCTCTGAGTTATGTCGTTATAACTCGACGGCACCGGCATTGGGATCACATCCCCTGTCTATTTTACAAATATTTGTTATACAAAAGTTTATCAAATCAATTAATAGCATTCACATTTTACTAATTTTTTTAGTATGAAACAAACAATTCTGTAAAAAGTGAATGTATTTTCATGTCTTACCAGTGGTTTTGTATACCACTTGTCAGTGAAGCCAACATTTTGGTCCTCGTCTACAGTAATGACCCGAAAGTTCCAAAAGCCGTCCAATAGTTTCAAATCTCTGGTCTCAGACTCTCGCGGATATAGTGCTGTACTCACACTCCATAGACTTATAATGAAAACTAATAATGATATTGCTTTCAAAGCAAACATTTTTGCTTAATTTAACTTGAAAGTATCATTCACTATTAATACTTATTTATAAATTATCCATTAATTATTAAATGAATCACTCTTACAAAATGTATAAAAATGCTAACTTTCTATAAAATTATTCTTTAATACGGTAAATATCTGACATTATTTTATTATCAAATTATTACTGTAGTACTGTATATATCATGAGTGCTGTATTATATGTACTAAGATATGGCTTAATGGTATTATTAGTAATCAAATCAATTATTCTGAGCAATTGATAGACTAGAGTGCCATATCCCATATCCCTATAATAGGAACAGGTAGTTCTATGTCTATATTATAGACTCTATATTCATGTCAAAATATTTAATCAAATTTTCTCAAATGCTTTCATTCCTTATATTTGTGATCCAATACTTATATAAGTTTATAAGGGATTCACTCGACGTATGATTACTCGAAGCAAACAATAATTGATTGCATTTATAGAGTATGAGTGATATTATTAAGAGATGTGGACATCATATGAATACAATTATCATTAAGTGCACTATGAACATAATTGTGCATGCTCAATACCTGCTAATTCTGTTTACTAAATATATCAATAAATATAGTTATAAATAATTATAGTTATAAGCTAAATTATATATAAATTAATAAAAATAGCATATATCTTTAATTATTAGCTACAACTTTATTTAATCATTTAGAAACGACAAGACTTTTTTTTAACGAGTTTTATATTTGTAAAACAATTCAAAATTGTTTTCCGTGTAGTTATCTTATGGCCACATTCACTGCAAAACACAAATAAAATTTAGTCAAAATTACAATTAACTAAAACACAGAATCTATTGAACGAGTCATGCAGTGAAGTAAACCACACGACCGAAGGGGTCGCACATAAACTGCACTATTGTTTGACGTTATTATTGGTCTCGTATTGAGTGCAGTGTCTGTTTGAATGAATCGATGATCACATCCATGGATAACACCACTGAAGACAAAGAGTTGGAACCGTTAAAGAGCGGTAAGTGATCACTGATACCACCATTGATCGCATGACTGGCCTAACTCGCGGTTGGTGTCCACGACAGCCGTGTTGTCTGCCCTCCAAAGTGACGGATCTCTTGACGAAATTCGCGCCCAATTGAGGGCTCATGTGTTCAGAGTTTGTGATACTATCGATGATAACAAGCATTGCGTTCAACACATCACGAGCGCCACCGATGACCACCTCTTCGTCGACCAACTCATCGCCGAATATCTTCGTCTCAACGGTTATAAACACTCGTTAAGTGTGTTCGCGTTAGGTTTGTCACCCCATTTGATCCCATTGTCCAGTGGTTTGGTCTCATTGACAGTGGCTTTGTATTTGCAGAGAGTGGTCAACAAAAGCAGTCAAAGTTTGACAGGTCTTCGGCTCAACACAAGTTAGGACTTCGTCTCAAAGACGACAACGAATCCAAACAATTGTCTGTTGAATGATGTCTGACATCCACTTCTTGTACTCATTTTGTGTCCATTACTCGCTTTTTAGGCCACTTTTGACGGCAATCGTGAAGAACTGTCTGAAGAAGACGCCGAAGAAGTGATTCCGACGACTATTATATAAGATATAAATATATTGTAAATATCAACCAAAATGTCAATCAATAGACTGGCAGTGAATTCACGCAAAGTATTTGTACTCAACTCACGACTAAATGCCATTAAATGGCGAACCATTTGTACCACAAATTCATTGAAAGATATCTTCAAAATACAAGACGAGAACGACTTCAAAGACAAAGTGCTTAACAACAAGAATGTAGTGATCGTTGACTTTCACGCCACGTAAGTATCACCGCAACTGATCCGTGCATTGAATGGGTTGACTGACGAGATGTGCTGTTGTCTGGACAGGTGGTGCGGTCCCTGCAAACTACTTAAGCCCCGACTCGAGACTATTATCGGTGCCAACAGTGGTAAAGGACTCGATTTGGCTGAAGTGGATGTCGACGAGAACGAGACCATTGCCTCCCAATATCAGGTATTCAATGGGTTGTTGAGTTTGGATCCCAAATCCGTAACCAATTAAACCACACTTTTAGGTGACTTCAGTGCCCACTGTGTTTGCGATGAGTGGCGGAAAAATTGTCGACCAGTTTATTGGTCTCAAAGATGAGGACCAATTGAGAGCATTCGTTGGCAAAGCACTCAAAGAATGATTTGTTGTTTTAGTGTATAGTGTTTTAGATATGAATTGACTTTTTATAACATTGAATATAACATTTGATTGAAGTTGTGTTAAAAATTTAGTTTTTCGTATTAACAGTAATACCGATCGTACTTACAATACGATATTTATCAATCGTTAGTATTCTGGCGTAAATGAGACAAATAAAGTTAAAATAAAGTTATGAATGAAACATAAATCACTGTGTTTTTCATCATATTTTTCATCAAATTCTATATATTTTAATGAAAATTACCATAAAATTATTTTAATGATTACTCAAATGTATGCTTTAACGGTAAAGTATTTTAATTTTTTAGTTTATCCAAAGAGCATTACGCAAAATACACAATCAATTTGGTCTCTGCATTCATTTAATTATTTGTAACAAAATGAAAGTACTGTACCGTATATACTGTTTTCTAATACTGTATATACAATTTAATTATACATTAAATCGCTTTTAATATTAAANTTTATTGCAATAAAGGCATTTATTTAATATTAAAAGCGATTTAATGTATAATTAAATTGTATATACAGTATTAGAAAACAGTATATACGGTACAGTACTTTCATTTTGTTACAAATAATTAAATGAATGCAGAGACCAAATTGATTGTGTATTTTGCGTAATGCTCTTTGGATAAACTAAAAAATTAAAATACTTTACCGTTAAAGCATACATTTGAGTAATCATTAAAATAATTTTATGGTAATTTTCATTAAAATATATAGAATTTGATGAAAAATATGATGAAAAACACAGTGATTTATGTTTCATTCATAACTTTATTTTAACTTTATTTGTCTCATTTACGCCAGAATACTAACGATTGATAAATATCGTATTGTAAGTACGATCGGTATTACTGTTAATACGAAAAACTAAATTTTTAACACAACTTCAATCAAATGTTATATTCAATGTTATAAAAAGTCAATTCATATCTAAAACACTATACACTAAAACAACAAATCATTCTTTGAGTGCTTTGCCAACGAATGCTCTCAATTGGTCCTCATCTTTGAGACCAATAAACTGGTCGACAATTTTTCCGCCACTCATCGCAAACACAGTGGGCACTGAAGTCACCTAAAAGTGTGGTTTAATTGGTTACGGATTTGGGATCCAAACTCAACAACCCATTGAATACCTGATATTGGGAGGCAATGGTCTCGTTCTCGTCGACATCCACTTCAGCCAAATCGAGTCCTTTACCACTGTTGGCACCGATAATAGTCTCGAGTCGGGGCTTAAGTAGTTTGCAGGGACCGCACCACCTGTCCAGACAACAGCACATCTCGTCAGTCAACCCATTCAATGCACGGATCAGTTGCGGTGATACTTACGTGGCGTGAAAGTCAACGATCACTACATTCTTGTTGTTAAGCACTTTGTCTTTGAAGTCGTTCTCGTCTTGTATTTTGAAGATATCTTTCAATGAATTTGTGGTACAAATGGTTCGCCATTTAATGGCATTTAGTCGTGAGTTGAGTACAAATACTTTGCGTGAATTCACTGCCAGTCTATTGATTGACATTTTGGTTGATATTTACAATATATTTATATCTTATATAATAGTCGTCGGAATCACTTCTTCGGCGTCTTCTTCAGACAGTTCTTCACGATTGCCGTCAAAAGTGGCCTAAAAAGCGAGTAATGGACACAAAATGAGTACAAGAAGTGGATGT